AATGTGTTATATGTGTAAATATGGTGTTAGATATGCAAACACATAAGAATTGTGTGGTATGTCTGTAAATTTCCGTACTTTTAAATTTCAGTTCCAGTTAAATGACTTTGATGCGGTCAATTTCTAATCTATTCTGAGTCCTTTTTCTTATAAATTTTTTTTTCATCAATTTAGCTCTCATTTTAAAGAGATTCTCACTAATTAAAATTAAAAGAGAGTCCTTTCTGGATTTAATTTTTTAAAAATTAAAATACTAATTTAGCTCTCATTTTTTTCATCAATTTAGCTCTCATTTTAAAGAGAGTCCTTTTTCTGCATTTAATTTTTTAAAAATTAAAATACTAATGTTTTAATATGATATAAAGGATCTATTTTTCATAAACATAATTTGATATAAATTTATTACGTAAAATTTAGGTGTTACTTATTTAAATATATAACATATACGCAAAAATTAAATTTGAGAAGTTAGATAATGTTAATACATAGGAATTAAGTGCTATGTATGTGAATCTTTTTTTTTTCTTATGGACGATTTGTATATGCACCACGTCATTCCTACGTATTTATATATCTTATAGCTAAACTTTAACTTTTACATATCTCACCTTATATATATCTATGAAAATATATATTTTACATCTGATAGAAAAAAAATTATAATATTAATATAAAAATCAACATTTAGGTGTTACATATGTAAATATGTATGAATTTGGTTACGTCACTTGAGTTTTTTTTCCTCTTTATAAGTGTTTCATGTAAAAATTTTAATGATTTTTTAAATTTTTTTTTTTATTTAAGTTTTTAGTGCAAAATCAATATATTAACTTTTTTTTTGTTTTTATAAATGTTATTCGTGACACAATCAAATCATTAAGAGAAAATCATAATTAATTTATTTTGGTACAACTTCTATCATGAATAACAATTCATTTTATATTTTTTATTTAAATATTTTGTTTATCTAACAAAATTTGATAGTTATAAAATAAAAAAGTTAATATCAAAATAAATTGATAAAATAATTAAAATAGATTTCACAGTAATTCTATTATCTTAAGATATTATAATATGAGTTATTAATCACAATTTGTATTACACCAAACTTATTTTTTTTTTTACATATTTACCTAATACTTAAATTATCTAAATCAAATTTACATGAGAATATTATAGTCAATCTAATTTTTCTAAAATAATAATAATATTATTAATTACACTTTCCTGCTTAATTGTAAATGTCCAAGAAACTTCACATTGCTCAGCTATTTGTGACCATCAACAAAGCTTAGGACACCGATCAGTTAATTTCTTCGTAGTAAATCTTTCACTTCTCTGGCGACACCGTCAACGTTCGTCTGAGAAGTGATGTCTCCACCGAGTTTTTTTCGGTATTTATTATGCTCCTTCGTATCTGTATTTTTATCTTCGTTGTTCCACCACCGTAGTAATTGATCAATTAATTGTATTAATTCTCTTATGCCCTATCTGTCGGGGAGATTTGATCTTATAGTTTGACATTATCAGTTTTTCTTCTTCTATTAATAGCCCTCGCCTACTCATCTCCAAGTCCCGATTTTCATTCATAATCTCCTTCTTAAGCGCACCGTCATCACCCGATACGTGACATTTGAATGTCGGATTCTCAGTGATATTTTCTTAAACGTTATATCGTTACTTATTTTTTTCAGTTGTCTGTATCCTATCTCTTCACTCATTGTCAACCTTTGACTGCAAACAATTTTTTCATTACTTTTTAATTTCTCCAAAACCATATAGATTATTGCATCAACAAAGACGCAATCATTTATTGTGCTCTCTCCTATCCTCAAGTCATGTCCATAATTGATGATCACATCAGATTATACGACCCTCAGTCAGCCTCTCATGTTGTGCATTTGTCTTTCATTGACGTGCTTCTAGATCTTAAGGTTACGGAGGATTTTCTTGCTTTTGGCAGCACAAATTGTTCTGTATCCATGGAACATTTCAAGACCGAGGAAGTGACGACACAGTTGTCTTGTAAGCACGTATATCATAAAGAATGCATTGCACGGTGACTACAAATACGCAACTCATGTCCAATTTATCGGGAGTGCGGTACTAATAATTTACAACCAGTGATTTCTAATACTGTTACTGCTGATGAAATGACAGGTGACGGAGAGTCGGATCTCATGTTGATAAAATTTAACATTGTGCTGCAATAGTAAGTCAATTTAGAGGTTGAGTTGCAGAGAAGTGCTGGATATGTGAATGCGACTATAGGACAAGAAACAAAATTAATGTTGTACAGAGATTTAGTGATCCTTTTGATACTCTTTCAAAACTGATTTTATTTTCTATTTTGTACTCGTGTTAAATATTTTATTTATTTTATTTTGTCTTTTTTTAACAGAATTAAGACTTTTAAACTCAAATTCTCGATCCTTTACGACGCGTCACATTCTCTAGTTAGGAGTGTCTTAACCTTCACCTCTAGAGAAATCTAAGTCATCAGAATATGACAATTAAGTCAGCAATGTTAAATGTAGCAGAAATTTTATTTTCTTTAAGTAGATCACATTTATAAGCATTATCATTAATCAACTTAACAAATTAAAATTGACCATAAGCTCTTGGTTTAAGCTTTCCATATGAATTCGCAGGACTTCAGGTCACTTTCTTGAAAATCATAACTTTCATGAGCTTCTTGGTTTGTTTCAGATACTTGATGTTCTGCTTAACAAGTTCCTTCATCGCCTGCTCAAATTTTGAACCCCCGACATCATTTCTAAGTGAAACAGTGATATGTGGACTAAATCCAAAGGCGTAAGTGGATTGCACCGGTACATAATCTCAAATGGATTGTGACATATGGACTAACAAATAGAATGATTATGGATAAACTCCACCTGAGGAAGAGCTGAAAAAGAAATAGTTTCCTACCAATTCATATGAAAAGTTTAAATAGTTATTTTTAATCTGTTAAGTTGATTAATGACAATACTTAAAATTGTCTACTATAAGATAATAAAATTTATTCTACATTTAATATTGTTGACTTAGTAGTCATATTATGAGGATCAAGATTTCTCTAGAGGTGAGGGTTAAGCCCCTCATAACTAGAGAGTGTGACGCAACCGTAAGGGATTGATAATTTGAGTTTAAAAATTCTATTTCTTATAAAAAATAAACAAAATAAAATAAATAAAATCTCTGACGCACGCAAGTATAAAAAAGAAAATAAAATTACGTTTGAAGGAGCCTCAAATAGGGCCACTGATCTCATGACAATACTAACTTTGTTCCTTTTCTTAGAGCCTTGTTCTAATCTCTTTCACTTTTCTTTAACTCAACCTCTAAATCAACTGGTCATTGCAGCACAATGCTAAATTTTCCCAATATGAAACCCGACTCTCTGTTATCTGTCAATTTTTCATCAGTAACAATATTAGAAATCACCGGCTGCGGATTACTAATACTGTTATCGCAACAAATTGGACACGATTTGCATATTTGTTGTCATCGTGCAATGCATTTTTTATGATGTATGTGCTTACAATGCAACTGCTTTCTAGATCTTGAAATTTTCCATGCATACAGAGCATTCTGCGTTGCTAGAATCAAGAAAATTGTCCGTCACCTTGAGATCTGACAGCACGATAATAGAAGATGGGAGTCGCAACATGAGGGGCGGACCGAATATCGTATAATCTGATGAGATTATCAATTATAGACACGACTTGAGGGCAGAGGATAGGGCAATGAATGATTGCGTTTTTTATTGATACAATATTCTAAGTTTCTTTGGAGAAATTGAAAAGGAATGACCTAATTGCTTGCTGGCAAGGGGGTGAAAATGGGTGCAGAGTTGGATACAAACAACTAAAAAAAATAAGGTAATGATATAACATGTAAGCTATTATCACCAGGACTCCAACTTTCGAATGTCGCGTATCGGTAATGGTAGTGCGCTTAAAGAGAGGATTGGGGATGAAAGACAGGGCTTGGAGATTGAGAGGGCGAGAGCTATTAATAGAAGAAGAAGAAGTGCTTAGAATGTCAGACTATTAGATCAAATCTATTCGGCGGATGTGGCAGAGAAAAATAATTGCGGTCAATTGATTAATTACTACGGTTGTGGAGCAAAAACGACAGAAGTACCGGTACGAAGTGACATAATATACACCGAAAAAAGGTTCAGTGGAGGATATCTCTTCTCCGACAAACGCTGAGGGGGTCGACGGAGAAGTGAAATGTTTACTTCAAAGAGACTAACTGATTAGTGTAATGAGCTTCTTGGATGCTCACAAATAGGCAAGCAATGTAAAGCTTCTTAGACCTTTATAATTGGGCAAGAAAGTGTAATTAAAATTATTATTATTATTTTATAAAATTAAGTTAGCTATTATATTATTATTTTGCCTCTCCAAATAATTTAAAGTTTTCAATATTTGTATAAAAAGATGCTTAAGGACGGTTATATATATTTTTTGAATTATTATTGAAATTGAAATGTGATATTCAAGTGTATTTTTTGAATTTATTTTATGTTTGTTTTGAATACTGTCTTCATTATATTAAGAGCATTCAAAATTCTATTTTATGAATATATTTTTTTTCTATTTATATGGTCATTGGAAGTATTAAAAAAATGAGAGATTGTTTATCTGATTGGAACACATTAAGCAATACGTATGTGTTATTAAAAAGTTATTTTTGGGGCTTTTTGGTATCTGTTTTACTAATCATTTTTACTGGGGTACTATAGTTACAATATATTATTTTTATTTATGATAGTATAATATTTAGAGTAGCATACATTAAGATACAAGATAATTTGTTTAAAACTTACTATTAAAATAAAATATTGTTTATAATTATATTTATATTCTTTTATTTAAAAAATATTAAAATTATGTTATTTTAAATAGAACAACACTCCAGTATATTTTTTTATTCCTCAAGTTTTTATTCTTACTCATGTGCTAAAATGACTGAATAACCAACTCCAGGACTTCTCTATCAAAACGATCACAATCACAGAAACAGTCTATCATATGGTCAAATTCTTATGAAAAAGAAGAGTTCTTTCACAATAGACCAAATACTGAAGTTTCCAATATTACCTCAGTTACAGAGCAGGTCCGAGCTTTTGGTTGCTACAGGTTCGTCGTTTGATCCTCAGGAGCAATCCTTTGAATTCAATTTGAAGCTCTAATTGGTTCCTTGTATGTTCTTGACCGGCAGGAGTCTTGGGTTGCTCAATTAGTTGGTTTGAGGGGCTAATATCATCTTGATTTGGGGGTTGAGAGTTTTTTCTTTCAACAAAAGCTCTATATTCAAAGCCCTATGCAAGCATTTGTGATTAAATTTGCTTAAATTAAATGAAATAAGTATTTATTAAAAATCAAGTGTTTAATGAAAAAAAATTAAATAATATCTAATTTATTTATTTATGTTCATGAAGATACTTGTTCAGTAGTCAACAGATATCCTCTAAAAAATTTTATGGTAAAATTGATAATAGCATATATCATATATATTATTTATAAAGTTTTTGATTAATTAAAATTAATTTAATTATATCGTATAGTAAAAAACAGCATGATTAAATTCAAATTAGGAGTCCTGATTTAAATATTCTCAGTAATAGGGGAAGGGGAGATCAAATTGACGATCAAATTTACTCATAGGCACTATTGACTTCAACTGACAAATATGTTACTTCAAAACATGTTCTGCCAGAATAATTTGCCCAGTCAGTTCGACATGTTAGGGCACTTCATTAATTCACCTTAAATCCGGACTACAATATACACATTATTAGATAATTGTTATTATTATGATATTTCTTTCTTATGTTGAGTAGACATTTATATAATCACCCTTAGGGGCCTACCAAAATATATATATATATACAGTTTTCCTTCGTTTTCTTAGTATGAAAGTCATAATCATCTTCATTTTTGCTCATTCGGGCATAAATTTATTATAATTTTCTAATATTGTGGTGGTTTTTCTATCTTTATGTCATTACCCGCATGACTGTATTACCTGTAATTTGATTGTGTATATAAGTACGACTCTCCCCACTAATTATTCAACCAACCTTTGTTCTTTTGAATTAAATTGAATGTTTTTTAATTTTAATAAAAAATTAGTACTTATATCATTGCAGTATTTTTCCTTGAAAAATTATTACTTGTATCGTTTATCTAACTAACAAAAAAAAAAAAAAAAGATACCTATTAATAAAAATGTGAGTATAAACCATTTATGAATTGAATAGTCATTTCCATTTTTCAATTCCTCTCATTTAACTCTTTTAAAAAGTGTTCTACAGTTCTTGACAGAACTTTGCTGCAGGCATGAGAAATATGCCATCCAGTACAGAGCCATGTTTGTTGTAAACTGCACAATTAGAAATTATCAATCTTAAGGGAGCAGGGTAAGAGCAAATGGAAATCTAAAAAATTTACAGATTGTGGTAATTTTCATCAGGATTATAATGATAATAAGATTTTTCATCCGGTTTGTTGCTCAGTTTGCTGAACGGATGTTGGCGTATTTGACAAAGATGAGGTTCATCACTTTTTTAATGTTATTCCAAGCACTTCCTAAGCTTTTGCTGTTAATTACTTAAATATTTGTTTGCTTTATACACATAACTAAGTTTCTTGCAGCAATGTTCAGAATGTTTGTTTCAATTGATAGCCGAAATGGATGTTATTGATTATTTTCTATACTTGTTTTGATGGTAAATATATGCTTCATATTGTCAATTTGTTGGTTATTTTACTTTGGAAATATTAATTTTTTGATGAGCTATGAGAGTTTTTGAGGATTGGGTAGAGATTTGCATTCTTTCATGCCAGCTCTATGTAGAATGTCTTTCATATAGCTTGCTTGATTGAAATGATATCCACAAGAAGTAGTTTGAATGGTGATACCGAGATAGGTAGATAGTGTTCAGGAATTTCATGGAAAAGGATTGCTACAAATCTTGCTGAAGTTGCTACATCAAATCGTTGTTATTTCCTGTTAATAATATATCATCTACATAAAGTAGAAGATGAAGTATATGAGACCGATGATGTAAATGTAATAAGCTTTACTGATGTGAAACCCAAATTTGAGAAGATGTTTGGTGAAAGTTTGATTCCATTGTCTCGGTGTATGTTTAAGTTCATAAATGGATTTCTGTAATAAACAAACATGATTAGGATATGTGGTATCTTTGTGACATGGAGGTTGATGCATATAGATATTTTGTTGAAGTTGACCGCCGAGAAAAGCGTTAAAGACATCCATTTGTATTATTTTCCACTGAAAATGAAGAGTGATAATGAGAAGAATTCTTGTAGTAGGAATCTTTGCAAATGGACTAAAAGTATCTTTTATAATTAAGTCCATATTCCTTTTAATATCCCAAATCTACTAATCTTCATTTGTACCTAGCCACTGATCCATCTTTATTTCATTTAATCTTGTATGTCCATTTGCTTCCCATTATTGGCTCACTTACTGGTGTAGGAACAAGTGTTTTAGTGTTTTGTTTTAGCAAATCTTGAAACTCCTCTCTCATATCTTGTTTCCAGTTACTATCGTTGGTCGCTTGTTTGTAGGTGATGGGTTCAGTTTGGACGGATTGGACATGGAGCAGGTCAAATATGTGTCGCTTGGATAGGAATTCTCTTTGGGATCAAGTAATCATGGTGTGCTTAGGTGGAGGTGGCTTTTCAGTGAGGGCTTTGGATACTTTGGATAATTGAGTGGGTTGCGATGTGGGCTCAGTTTGAGGTGGAGCTTGAAGAATTGTAGGGACTGTGTGAGTTGCAGACTTGTTAGGAGTTGAAGCTTTTTGGTTAGTATGTACGATGGAGGGGGGATCAAAATATTTATAACCTTTAGTGTGAGCGGGATATCCAAGAAAGGCACAAGGTAAGGATGCTGAAGTTTGTGTTATGTTGGAGCCCGGTTCAGACCCTCTCCCGCTCCCGCCCTTCCGATCGCGCACAGTCGCGATCCCTCCTCTGCCCATTCCCGCGCGTGAAGCGAAGCGTTCAATCGCGAACCGCAGGCGCCAATCGCTCTCGCCTTACCTTTTTTGTGAAGCGAAACATCTCTTCGCTTCCTCCTGTTCGTGATAAAAACCTTCAGATGACTCTTCTTGGGTTTTAGAAGTTACGGTGTTCTTCTTCGGTTTCCTCGGGATAGAGGAAGGAAGGTGCAAGAAGTAATTCCTCGCGGTGAAGGAAGAAGAAAGAAGAAGAAAATTGTTCTTTCTTAGCCTATTCTTGGTGGTTTGTGGCTAAAGAGAAATTAAGTTTATTTCTCTTGTCAGTTTATCTTTTTCGGTGTATCTTGGTGTAGAGAAAATAATAAAGAGAAGAAGAGAGAGCAACGAAGTGAACGAAGTGAGAGTGAAAGATTCCTCTTGTAAGTCGAGGTGATCGACTGGTGTAAATTTCTCAAGTAGTAAAATTCTCTGCAACTCTGTGGACGTAGTCACTTTGTCGAACCACGTAAATCTATGTTTTTTTCTGGTGTGAAATTTTCTCTTTCAATTTTTCGTTTCATCGATTATTCTCCTGTTTGATTTATATATATATCACATCAACTGGTGTATATCTATATCTCGCCACAACAACTGATATCAGAGTTTTGTTCAGATCTGAGGAAGAATGATGACTGTAGATGAAGTGAAGGTTTCAGGGATTGAGAAATTTGATGACACAGATTTTGGTTACTAGAGGATGCAAATAGAGGACTACCTCTATGGGAAGAAACTTTATCTTCCATTATTGGGGAAAAGACTTGAAAGGATGGATGACGTCGAATGAAATTTGTTGGATCGATAAGTTCTGGGGGTTATTCGATTGACATTATCGAGATCCGTTGCACATAATGTTGTCAAAAAGAGGAAGACTGCAGATTTTATGGCAGTCCTATCTGATATGTATGAAAAGTCATCGGCGAATAAAAATGTGTTTTTGATGAAGAAGTTATTCAATTTGAAGATGGTGGAATGTGACCTGAATGATTTCAATACTATCACAAATCAATTGTTGTCTGTTGAAATTGATTTTGATGATGAGATACATGCGCTGATATTGTTGGCATCGTTGTCAAATAGTTGGAAAATCATGAGGATGGTAGTTAGCAGTTTTGTAGGTAAATCTAAATTGAAATGTGATGATATTTGTGATTTGATTTTGACTGAGGAGGTTCGCAGGAAAGATTCTGACAAGATCTCAGGTACGAGTTCGATACTGAATGTTGATTTCAGAGGGAGATCACAGGACAATGACTCAAATAGAGGGAGATCAAAATCAATGTATGATCAGCATAGTTAGCAGACACTGCTGGAATTGTGGCAAGGTTGGCCACATAAAGAGGAATTGCAGGAATCCCAATAATATGAAGAATGATAGCGTAAATATGGTATCAGAAGAAGTACAAAATGAACTATTGTTGACAGTTCATAGTTTTGTTGATGATGGAAGTGAAGAGGATGTTGGGTCTGGGACACCCATTTCTATTGTTCTACAGACAGATGGTGGAGAACTACAGAGCTATGAAGAAATCTTGTAAGATGAAATTTCGAGCAAGTGGGAGCTGACAAAACTTCCACTAGGGAAGAAAACATTACAGAACAAGTGGGTGTACTAGGTGAAGAGTGAACTTTATGGCAGTAAAAGGTACAATACTAGACTTGTTGAAAAAGACTTTCAACAGAGGTAGGATGTTGCTCATGCAGTGGGAGTTGTAAGCAGAGACGAGTAATTCAAAAAATAGCTTGGAGGTGCAAGGCTATTTGGACCCTGCTAATATGTTGACTGAAGGTGTACTCTTGAAAAACTGAAGTGTGCACAGCTTCAGTTGATCTTCTACATGAATACAAGGCTTTGAGTTGCAGAGGTGAAAGATTCAAGTTGGAGGATTCACAGTGGAGGATTCATGTTTGAAGAAAAGGGCGACACTGCTAGTGGAGGATATCAGTTCGAGGAAGGAGATGTTGTAGCATGTGTATTAGTCTTCAAGTGAGAGATTTGTTATGCTGGAGCTCGGTTCAAACCCCCTCCCGCTCCCGTTCTTCTGATCGCGAAAGGTCGTTATCACTCGTTAGTGATCTCGCCTCCACCCATTCCCGCGCACGAAGCGAAGCGTCTAGTCGCGAACCGTAGGCGCCAACTGCTCCCGCCTTTCCTTTTTGTGAAGCGAAGCATCTCTTCGCTCCCTCCTGTTCGTGATACAAGCTTTTGGATGGCTCTCCTTGGGCTTTAGAAGTCACGGTGTTCTTCTTTGGTTTCTTCGGGATATAGGAAAGTTTCCTTGGGATAAAGGAAGGAAAATGCAAGAAGTAGTTCCTTGGGGTGAAGGAAGAAGAAAAAAAAGAAGATTGTTCTCCCTTGGCTTCTTTTTGGTGGCTTGTGACTGAAGAGAAATTGAGTTTATTTTTCTTATAAGTTTATCTTCTTCAGTGTATCTCGGTGTAGAAGAGAAGAGTAGAGATAGAAGAAGAAAGCAACGAAATGAGAGTGAGAGATTCCTCTTGTAAGCCAAGGTGATCGACTGGTGTAAATTTCTTAAGTAGTAAAATTCTCTGTAACTCTGTAGACGTATCTACGTAAATCTGTGTTCTTTTCTGGTGTGAGTTTTTCTCGTTTTATTTTTCGTTTAGTCGATCGTTCTCATGTTTGATTTATATATATATACCACATCAACTGATGAATATCTATATCTCACTACAAAAAAAATTTTTTGTGAATTGGTGTTAACCATGGATAACATTGACAGCTGTAGTTTTCTTGATGATTGTAGTCAGATATATAACCATAAAGGGACTGATATGATCTATGACTTTGGATGGTAGTCGATTTATCAGGTAAACAACTGTAAGAACTGTCTCAGGCCAAAGGGATGGAGGATGCTGAAGTCTGCTAGGAGTGCTCTGGTGGTTTCCAAAATAAGTCAGTGCTTTCGTTCAACCATGTCATTTAGCTGTGGGGTATAAGGACAGTTCGTTCAATACTAGATGTATTGAGTAGTCTTTTGAATTGATGACTAACATATTATCCCCTATTGTCTATCCGTATAGCCTTTATTCTTTGATTGAATTGAAGTTAAACTACTTTTTTGAAGTTGGAAAAGTGAGTAATGTCTTCATATTTGTGTATCTATGGATAGATCCAAGTATACCTGGTGAAGTCATCTATGAAAAATACATAATATATGTATCCTTGAGCAGGAGCGGTTGGGGATGAGCCCCATACACCTGAATGATCTAGGCTGAAGGTGTACATCAAGAACTAGTAGAATTAGAGAAAGAATTACTATGGCATTTAGTTGTAACACAAAAAAAAAAAAAAAGAAATTGTTTGAAATATGTAAATTGTGTTGTTTAGTTATACTTTGTAGAATTTGTTGACTGGCCTGCCCAAACCTATGATCCCATTGATTCAATTTATTGGTGACCGAGATTAATACTTAGGGATTGGTGTGAATGCAATACAACCCATCACTGTAGGGACCCTGAAGGAGAAGCTGTTGATTAGTCTGATCCTTTTTTGATATCCGTTCGCATAAAAAATGATCATACAATTATTATCACGAGCTAGTTGAGAGAGATATCAAATAATAAGATATTTGAGTAGTGTGAAATAAGTGTTTGAAAAT